CTAATCTAGCGGCGGCGTTACCACCACTCCCGCCCAATCTAGCGGCCGCGTTACCGCCACGATACCACCACCACCTGCCTATAAATTGAATTTCAAGGTAGCTGGAAAAATATCGCTGCACCCATTATCTTTTTTTTTTGTCTGAGAGTAGTGTATAGCAAGCCTAATTTTTATATATAGAGAGAGTTACGGTCAGAGGCATCTGCCGACTGCTAGATGCACTTCTCTTCTTCTATGTCGAGTTGATTGCTCATGATTTTTAGCGAATATTGTTTTAGGTATTGATTGTGGGAAGCATACTTGCTTCTTCAAGTTGAAGTTACAATGATGATAGGAACTGTTTGTTCAAGGAGAAGTATATCCACATTTTCTTGTTTATGTCAGAGAATTAAGCAGACAGGTGAGTGTGTTGCTTCTACTTCTTCGTGTGAACTATATTATTCATTTTGTTTGTTGATTCAGGAAAGAGTTGTATATAGTTTTAGGATGCATAAAAATAGATCAATGTTCTATTAGATTCCAACTTTGGTATATTTTTTGATTGCCCTGGAAAATTTGAAGCTACTATGTGATGCACATACTGGGATTTTTCATGGCATGTATAACTTGTAGAAAAAAAAACCTCTTTTTCCCCAAATGCACAAAGATAGTGAATGGTAATAGCCTTTTTTTTGTTTATGTTGCAGAAAGTGATATTGTTAAAATGTTTGAAATCTCAAGGCCTAAGGCCGAAACAGAAGGCATCCAAGAGAAGAGACCACCCTTAAGAAGGGGTTCTGTAAGGATATTGGATGAGAGGTTCATCAGGATTCTGAAGATATTTAAGTGGGGTCCTGATGCTGAAAAGGCATTGGAGGTGCTAAAGTTGAAAGTAGACAATGAATTGGTTCGAGAGGTTATGAAAATAGACATGGAGGTCAGTGTGAAAATTCAGTTTTTTAAGTGGGCTGGTAAAAGGAGGAACTTTGAACATGATTCTACTACTTACCTGACTTTGATTCGATGTCTTGAAGAAGCTGGGCTGACAGGTGAAATGTGGAAGACAGTGCAAGAAATGGCACGGAGTACATGTGTTATTACTCCTGCCGATCTCTCCGAGACTGTGAGAATTTTTGGCAGGGCAAAAATGGTAAACAAAGCACTATCAATATTTTACCAGATTAAAGGTCGCAAGTGCAAGCCAACTGCAACCACTTACAATTCCATTATTTTGATGCTGATGCAAGAGGGCCAACATGAAAAAGTTCATGAGCTTTACAGTGAAATGTGTAATGAGGGCAACTGTTTCCCTGATACAGTAACCTACAGTGCTCTTATATCATCCTATGCAAAGTTAGGTCGTGATGATTCTGCTATTAGGTTATTTGATGAAATGAAGGACAATGGTTTACATCCCACTGCAAAGATATATACAACCTTGTTAGCAGTTTACTTCAAAATGGGTAGGGTCGAAATGGCTTTAGCATTAGTCAATGAGATGAAGAAGAATGCTTGTGCCCCAACTGTGTATACTTACACTGAATTGATAAGAGGGCTTGGTAAAGCTGGTAGAATCGAGGACGCGTATTCTATATTTCTGTCCATGCTAAAAGAGGGATGTAAGCCGGATGTTGTGTTGATAAACAATGTGATAAACCTTCTAGGAAGGGGAGGACGTATAGGTGATGCTTTTAAATTGTTTAATGAAATGGAGTCATTAAACTGTAAACCGAATGTTGTGACATATAATACTGTTATAAAATCCCTGTTTGAGTCGAAAGCGCCTATATCCGAGGTTTCATCTTGGTTTGATAGAATGAAAGCAAATGGTGTTGCTCCAAGCTCTTTTACTTATTCAATACTTATTGATGGGTATTGCAAGAAAAATAGAGTTGAAAAAGCCTTAGCTTTGCTTGAGGAGATGGACGAGAAGTGCTTTCCTCCTTGTCCAGCTGCCTATTGCAGCTTGATCAATAGCCTTGGAAAAGCAAAACGCTATGAAGCTGCAAATGAGTTGTTTCAAGAACTAAAAGAGAGTTGTGGATCTAGCAGTTCTCGGGTATATGCTGTAATGATAAAGCACTTCGGGAAATGTGGCCGTTTGACTGAGGCTGTCAATCTTTTCAATGAGATGCAAAAGCTGGGATGTTCTCCGGATGTATATGCACACAATGCACTCATGTCCGGGCTGGTGAGGTCAGGTATGCTAGATGAGGCTTTTTCCATGTTTCGTAGTATGGAAGAAAATGGTTGTGCTCCCGACTTAAACTCATTTAACATAATACTAAATGGTTTGGCCAAGACTGGTGACCCACAGCGAGCGATCGAGATGTTTACAAAAATGAAAAATTCAACAATTAAACCTGATGCTGTCTCTTACAACACCATTCTTGGTTGCCTAAGTCGTGCTGGGATGTTCGAGGAAGCTGCAAGACTGATGAAAGAGATGCGTGCCAATGCTTTTGAATATGATCTTATTACATACTCGTCAATACTTGAAGCAGTCGGTCATGTTGATGAGGATGGTACATGTCAGACTTCATGAGGGAGCTTTGGTATGGGAGATTCTTCTAGTTAGTGCTTTTCATTATTTACACTATTTAGTACATGGGAACCGTTTAAATCATCTTGGCCTGGCAATATACGCAGCTTTATGTATGGTTTTAGGATGCTCTAGTAAAATTGAGTGGCAAATAATTGCAGCATTTTGGTTATTCTCCCTGCTGGATGCTGGTGTTGGCTTCTGCAGATATATGATTGAATTTTCACTTTGGGGTAAGGGTTTGAAGTGGTATGTTCAGTACACATATTACCATGCGCACGGAATCTTCCTCCTGTTTTCTCAAATCACTGAGTGGAATTAAGCTTGGCAGCACCCTGTAACAAAAGACGAAGGATGGTTAGCTTTTGGCAGTTGGACCTGATCAGTTTCCTTTTGTTTCATGATTCTCTCTGTCGTAAATATATCTAATTCTGTCTGTGGGTACGTGAGTTACAAAATTTCCATTAGCGAGTGTTTCTTCTACCTGTTGGTAGTTCCTTTGTTCTAAGAAGTGAGAACTTGCTTTGAGAAACTGTGGTTCTGGCCTTATATAAAAAATTCCTTTGGGAAGGAGGAATGGGGAGAAGGTATGTTTCACTTGTCCTCTGCATCGGATATTTTTCACCAGAATTCCACTGCTTTGTGCTCCTGGATATTTAACATCTGCTCTTTCTATCTCCTTAGAGTGTGCCAAAAACTATTTTATATGGGCTTTGGTGTTCCTCAAAGATTCAATGAAGTTCATTTTTTTCCTTACTTGACCCCTGTGGCTACATGGAGGCTGGAGCTAGCAATCCTTGCCCTTCTGTCGGTTAAATAGATCATTGTGACCCTTCTTGCTGCAGTTTCTGAAGCTAGCGAGCTCCTGTGATCAATTTACTCATAATCATGTTGAGAAATTTCAAATGTCAAGGATTGTCTACCCTCCCTTTCTCCTCTCTCAAAATGACCAGGGTTTAACTATTGCTTCCTACAAGTGAAATTCTCCAGTAACCTTTTGGTCCACTCCAATTTCGGGTCTAGAATGAGACAGGATTAGGAGGCATCAAGATCACTCATCCAGCTCATCTTCTTTTCGGTTGCCAAAAGGTATGGTTGGGATGATTTTACCAATAAAAAAAGTATAAATTCATGATGGTTCATCCAAAAAACCCTTTTGTCCCAATATAATAGATTAAAATTATGGTGGGGAGGTGTGATAAATAATCCAAGGAAATGAGCTTTTTGAAATAGAAATTCTCGAAGATCAATATGTAAACTTTAGTCATCAAAAAAGATCAATATGTAAACTTTAAATGTGAAATTATGAAAACAACACTTCAATGTTTTTACCTAAAGCTTTATTTGCTTTGAACAAATTATTTTTGTTGTATATTTAAGACATCTTAGGTTTTTACTGTTCTATTTCTAATATTTTACGTTGGTTTAGTTAGTATTTTATTATGTTCTGGTGTGTTAACCTTATTTTTTAAATTAATTTAGATTATTTATACCCTCTTTATGCAGTTTCTCAGAACCAAATATAAGACAAATTGCAATACTTAACTATATCATTTTGGTAATTCAAGTAAACTCTATTATTTATGTGCATTTTGGTGAAGTGTTGTTTATCTATCCTTGAGATAAATGTCTTTACCTAAAAGGCATTGCTTTTCTCAGTCATTCTCTTTGTGTTACATAGCTGTTTGTATTATCATCTGGGTTAAATTTCAGGACCATTTGTACACGCCCTCTTTAGGTTTGAAAATGACAAACATCTACTTGATATGAGAAATTGACAGACATCTTTGCTCTAATTTAATGTGTTAATTGATTATTTTTGGAAAGTTAATTATTTTAATTGAATTTATATGATAAACTAAGCTCCAGTTGGACATGGTTTAGGGTTGATGATGCCATCAAAATTTGTCGAGATATTGCTAACCACCTTAGAGATGTATAACTTGGTAGACTTCCCTGTTCCTCTTCTTTCTTCAGCTGGTAAATGACTCTAAGAGAACAAAGAAAATCAAAATTATATCATTTGGAGAGAGTACATGATAGGACTAATTACCTTTAGCTCAGCATAAATTGAAAAAAAACAAAAACCTACTCCGCTTGTAACTTTTTTGCCAGAAGTGCAGGTCTCTCAAAGGGGTTCATTAATGATGGGAGATCATGAAGAGTTACCACTTGGTGTTGCTAATGGTAGTGGCTGTTACTGAATTGGGAACATTCATAGAATGAAGGGAAGACAGTGGAGGAACAAATATGATGTGAAAAGGGATAAAAAGAGAGAAAATGAAACAAGAGGAAAAGATGAAAGTGAGAACAGAAAGAAAGGAGAGGAAACAAAATGGACGAAAGAAATGAAGAGCAGGTTTAAATCAAGGTGGGGGATGTAGCTGGGTGGTATCTTTTTATCCATGCCTTGGTTGGCTTAGAGCTTCACCACTGATACTTAGGTATTATGTTTCTTAAGCTGGAAGATGCTTATCAACTGAATCTATTTCTTTCGAAAGATACTTGGATAAATGATGGGTAAACTAGTAAAAGGTTTCTCAATGACAACATTATTTTGTTCCACTTCCACTGTTAAGTCATGGAGGTGTCTGTCTTTCTCAACCAGAAGGAAGGTCTATTTCATTTCGCCAAAACTAGAGTGCAGGTCCTTATATTTTCCCAGTTCATACTTCTGATACTGAATGCCAGTCTTTTTGCCATGGTTCTCTAATCTATGCTGGTGGGATGTTACCCTTGTGTGCAATTTGTATTAAACTGAAATGGAAATGCCATTGATTTTGTTGTCAGATCAAGAAAATAATATGATGTATTTCTTTTGCAGGATAACCCACTGGTGTTGGCTGCCATAATTGTTGCATCTGGTGTAGAATTTTCCTCATCATCCAAACTGCAAAACTATGTGCATTATACAGTGCATAATAGTCCCTTGAAGCCAGCAACACTGCATCACCATACTGAAACTCATGTATATTTAGGCATAGCCACCAGTTTGAAACCAAAGTTATTCTTGTTTTACACAACTATTGCGCAAGGATGAAGACGCTGGCCTTATCCGTCTTGAGGGTTCAACTATTGATACAGATATTGTCAATTGGGATGCATGCCAGGTCTTATTGTCTCAACATATAACAAGCTGACCAATTGCCACAAATCTCTTATCAAGAGAGCTACCATATGTTGTGTGGGTATCACCAAGGAATGCTTAAATGGAACAATCTTTTTTGATAAGTTGCTTAAATGTACTAACGTTACAGGGAACTCTTTAAGTTATGTTCACCAGGGAAAGTCTGTCCTTTTGAGGATATTGAAGGCAATATTTTTGATATTGGGAATACATGTAACAATTGTATATAAAAACACTCACTTTGAATTTACTGTAATATTTCGAATATCTTGTTGATAGGTGTGTGGTTACAGTTAGAAATGTCTCCAATTGCAGCTTCTGTTATAACCACCAGAAGCCTTTAGATGGAAAATAGCAGCACATACTAGTGTTAGTATGTTGTAGTATGGAGGATGATCTAAACATAACATTAATGAAAAATGTGAAATGAGCAGACATTGCTTTGTTTGCTCAAAAAGTGAAGTTACTTGTGGTAGAGTTTGTACATCAAGCTCAACAGATGAGCCTAATATATGATGAAACATCACAAATGGCTTCTCTATTTTTTCTTTGGTTTTCCTGTGAATATTCACCAAGGTGTTTAGCTCATACAATACACACACAAAATGACTGGATATTAAGACCAAAACCTATCAACTCTAAATCATGGATTCATCGCTGCCCATGGAAGTCGCACCCACTGGCTTTGCTGCCTCCTCTTACCAGAACTTTAATTCCAATATCTTGAGAAAATTCTGATGGTCTCTGTGATTGAACTCGAGTAAGTTCTAAACCACTAAACAGCTATAGAGTATTGGACAAGAGTGGATTAGGTTAACAGACAATTCCTGCAGTTGTGATCTCCATAATGTTATTATTGACTGCTGAAACTACATCCAGATACATTCTTACATCACATTAAGTTGTCTTGCATATAGCCATCAATGGTGAGAAACTAAAAAGATATAATACAACAATGGAAAATAGCCAACATAGAACGAATAGAGAGATAATCTGGCTAATCATCCACTAACATTTTCAGCAGACAAGTCGTTCTCTTCATCATTTCCTTGACGTATTCTTGCAATTTCTGCCTGAGCTCTCTCCATAATCTGCCTCTTTTGGAGTTCCAATTCTCTGTGGAAGTCCATCCTCATTTTCTCCAGTTCCATCATTTGCTGTCTCTTGCTATTCTCAATCTTCACATATATCTCACTAAATTTATGGATAGAATCTGCAATTAATTTGAAAGAATGTCCATTCCCATTCCCACCTGGTTGTACATTTCTTGATCTTTTTGGTGGAAGATCCTCTGAACCATCAGCAGATTCTGAGTTAGCAGGACTGTCCCTCATCTCATCCAAGCCATTAGCACGATTCAGATAAGTTTTTGGGCTCATGAAAACATACTCTCCAGAGTCCATTCCACATGAAACACCAGTTTTCTGGGGAGTTGATGTTAGTAACATGTCCATCTTTTTGAAGTACACCCACTTGCTAGTGGTACTGCTAGTCTCTGCAAACTTCATCTTCTCCTTTTTGTATTTCTTTTTCAGAGTATCCAAACGGTTACGACATTGGGTGTCTGTCCTCTCAAGTTTGGACCCCCGTGACACTCTCTCTGCAACTTCTTGCCATTCCTCTGATCGAAGACTCTTCCTCCCATGTCGAACAAACCTAGTACCCCATGCATCAAGCAAAATAAATGTCTCATGTTCAGACCAATCTGAAAGTGGATTCCTACCACCAAACGAAGGCTTAGGAGCGGTTGCAGCTGTAGTAGATGGTGGTGGTACTCGAGGTGCAAACTCATAACTTGATAACAAGCTCTTTAACTTCCTCTTCTTTTGATGCCTCTGCGAATCACCATACTCATCATCATCATCATCATCGTCATCAAACACATCTTTCCCTATCCGCTGGACACCATTTTCTTCGCCATCATCATCTTCTTCTTCTTCTTCGCCATCAACTTCTTCATCATCAACTTCTTCATCATCATCCGCCTCCTCCACATACTGATTGTCGACATGCCTTGAATAAGAAGTGTCGTGAACAGGAAGCTTCTGGCGATTGGATGACTCATAACCCTGGTTCATGCCATAAGGGTTGGGTGGATATCTCCCATTATCCTCGATGTCATCCATTGAAGCACAACAAACCAAGTGTCTACTACTACAACACACTAATACCTAGAGAGAGTCTAAGTTCAAATTCCAAGCACAACGTTTTCTTGATCAATTTCGATCCATTTTAACTCCAAATTAACACTTTATTTCTAGCAACTAGATGAACAAGTTTCTCCATCATATTTATACCATCACAAAAACCTAATTCAAAAAATCAATCTCAGATACAAGCAAAATCCCTTTATCTAATTCAAGAAAATATGCCTACAACAACCCAAAATCCAAACAGAAACTTCTCACATACAATTGACAACCTTTATCAAATTCAAGCAATATGCCTACAGCAACCAAAAATCCAAACAGAAACTTCTCAGATACAACTGAAACCCTCCATCAAATTCAAGAATATATGCCTACAGAAACCCAAAACCCATACAAAAACTTCTCAGACACAATTCAAAGGAAAACCCTATAATCCTTTACCTCAACAAGGGGGAAATTTGTACTCAAACAGCCTTAAAACTGGAAACTTAATCAAACCCCTAAACAACTCAATACACATCCCAAAAAAACAATGAACTTATCAGTTTCCAATCAGAAGAGATACCCTGCTGTTTTACTCCCTTACTTCAAGAAATAATTTATTTATTTTTGGTTTGAGCAAATCAAACACCTTAACAACCAAAACCCATCTAAAAATCAAGAACATCCAACAGATTAAGTTCCAATAAATAAAAAAAGAACAACCTTTAACTCCCTTACCTCAAAAAAGGGAATCTTGCTGTTGAAATTGCCTTAAAGTTTGAAACTTTGAGGGAAAATCAAACAGGTAGCAAGAACAAATTCAAGAAAACTTTAAGGATCTGAGACTGTAAAAGGATTACATGAAAATAAAAAAAAATGAAAATTTAGTAGGGTTCATCTTCTGGGGTAGCAAAGATGAGAGAGAGAGGACGCAAAAATCAGGTGAGAGTGCAACCACCAAAGTTGCTCAAGTGCGCCGAGTGTGATTTTTCCTTCCGGCTGCTTTTGGGGTCCATCAACAGCACGGGTGTAAGGACATGTGTCCTAACATTATTAGGGCCAACTATTATTTTATTGAAAATTTAAAGAGACATGGCCAAATGACGCCCTGACCTATTATCGAATTTTCAACTACATATTTGAGAATCCTATTACCTAGGGGTGTGTATAACCAAATTAATAAGACATTTTTATCGATTTTGGTCCTTAATGGTTTGATTTTCAGTTTACCCGATAAGAAGATGTTTATAAAATAAATATATGACTTCTCCAATAATTTGACAGGACAAGACAATAATATAATTTTACAGAACGCTCATAAAATAAAAACAATAATAACTAACATGAAAAGGACTATACAAGTGCACAACACAGAGAAATTAAGAATATGGTTCTTACTTTAGATTTTGATGTTTTGTATAACGTGAAGTTGTGAGCTCTAAGTCAGTGTAAAGTGTGAATTAAACGCTAATGAGCAAAGACAATAATCAATAAGATACTGAGATCAATATTTAATAATTATGTATGGATAGAGTAGTAAATTACTACCGTCTTAATGAGTTATCGGTTTACCCAATATTTAAAACCAATATCGAACCGATAACCCGATATTTTTTTTAAGAAAATCGTTAACTCGATAACCCAATAACATTTTGTCAAGCCCTAACCTACATCCTGAACGTGGCCGGCACTCGAGAACCATCGTTGGTCCCTAAGCGAACCCTTGCTTTAGCTCACTATTCAGCGAAAGACTTACTCAAACAAAATAGGAATTTCAATTACATAATTAAAGTTTAAAGTCTAAGTCAAACTCAAATCAATGAACATCTGGAAATACTTATGAAGTTAATATCAACTGTCTCAAAATATCTCAACAAGAAAGGGAAAATAAAGAGACTCCTCAACGTATAACTATCTACGAAGCCTCTAATTACTAAGATAGATGTCGGGACAGGACCCCAGAAAACTTTAAACAAAATAAGAAATAACTATGAATCCCTCCGAAAAGCAAGAAGGCTCACCAAAGCTAGCTGAAGTGCAAATGGTATCAACGAAGTGCCTGTTAATGATCTTGAACACCTGTATCTGCATCATAAAAAAATGCAGATCTAATGATGTCAGTACATTGAATGTACGAGCATGTAAGGGGAAAATTGAAAACATGTGCATCTGAAATGAGAAGGCAAGAAGATATACTCACCTCAACTCAACTCCAATACAAAATCAACAATGATAAATGCAATATTTAAAACATTATAAAATAGGAGATCTAACAATGATGTATAAAAATACAATAAGATTTTCTTTACTCTTAGTTAGGAGATTCTTTAACTACAACCATCACTATGAGCTACATGATGATACAATGTCTCACCCACGCTGCCAGAACTGTCCTATACCTTTTCGGGGGTATAGAACACCTCAACTAAGTGGATCCACTAATTAAGCTATGCTTAAAAGTAATAAGGAGTTGTCTAAAAAGTATGATCTTTTACCCATGTTGGCTACATTGTTTATGAGGAATGTGAGTTGTCTGAACTCATCTCCACATTGGTGCTCAATACTAATACCAACAATATATAAACTGATGCTCAAATGTATAAAACATAACTCTTTCTCAATTTGAGATAATTACTCAAAAGATCTTCTTAAAAGAGGTAATACTCTGAAATATCTCTGAACTCACAAACTCATTTAGAAATAAGTGTTTCTCTCTTTTTAAATGTAAAAGTGTTATATTTGGGACTACTTAATTCCCTTATACTCTTTTTCAATCATGAATACAACTCTTCTCATTCTCATACTTACTTTCTCAAGACTTACTTCATAACTATTGTTGATTACAAAAGAATTCTCAATTTGACTTAAAAGACCTCTTGAACTTTCCTCTTAATTTTACTTTAATTTGAAATGTAAATTAAGACATGTGATTAGGACATGTAGGATCTCTCAAGGATTAATGGAGACTTTAGAAGCTAATACAAAGAAGCGAACACATTCACGATTCAAAGGAACACGTTCAGAATGAAGCACGAAAAGGAAAAAATACCAGGTGACCCTGGCGTAACAGTGGCGCGTTGCGCCAAACCCAATTGATTGGGGTTGGATTTGGGCGCACTGATGATGCGTTGCCCCAGACCTCAA